AATTGTAGGTGAATTGTAGGTGAATGTAGGTGAATGGTAGGTGAATTGTAGATGACTTTTAGGTGAATTGTAGTGTTGGCTTTATGCTGTTACATCTTTGATTGTATCTGTCCAAAACTTAACTGTCATTTCAAAACTATTCTAGATCAATAATTCTATACTGAAAATACAAAAACACACGTTTTCAAAAAAAAAAATCTATTGATAGCTCGGATTTGAAATTTCAGATGGGTGGATGACGAGGAAGTGAGTATCACAAGATGGGAACTTGGCCAAGGGATAAACATGGACGAAAACTGTGCACTTGCCTATAATAGTTTTAAGTGATTTAAGTGTTTTGGTAAAATATTATAGATTTACTTTATTGTTTTGAAATGATTTAAGTGTTTTGGTAAAATATTATAGATTTACTATATCGTTTTGAAGTGATTTAAGTGTTTTGGTAAAATATCATGATTTACTTTATCGTCTTGAAGTGATTTAAGTGTTTTGGTAAACTATTATAGATTAATTTTATCGTTTTGAAGTGATTTTAGTGTTTTTGTAAAATATCATAGATTTACTTAATCTTTTTGAAGTGATTTAAGTGTTTTGGTAACATATCATTTGAAGCGATTTAATTTTTTTAATAAATATAAATCATGTAACCTTTTTAGAATATATAAGCGTAATTAAAATGACTAGCTGCAGAGTCCGTTGGAAGGCAGACAAAAAATGTGTAATTAGATTTAGACCCTCAGTTGTATTGGTCAGTTTTGTAGGATAGCGTTTCATAGAGACATATTGTATACATGAATATAAATATTTAAATATGAAAAGTGGTATTATCAAATATTTGTTACAAAGTAAATAACAAACACATATTTGTAATTGACACCATAATTTGTTTTCAAAGAGTTTGTTTATTTGTATACATATACAATATCAATTATTAATTACAAAATAATTATCATTAAAATCCTCGTCTCCATAGTAATTATAGTCATTTTATCTGTATTCAACAAAACCTTATTTTTGTGATACTTTTAAAAGCAAATGCTTTTGTTGGTAAACTATTAATATAAGTGGAAAGGCGTGATAAAACGGCAGAGCGTTTGACTGCTAGTTCGATGAGTCCACCCAGCTCTGTTAGTCCACCCTTAGTAGGGTAAAACAGAAGCGATGGTGCTGACGACTATACTTTTTATACCGAAGCCAAGAAACATGCAAACTCTACTTCTTATGCCCAATGGACCGCTAGTATAAAGTTGAATCTTACACATTTAGCATCATACTAATTAAAGAAGATTTTGTTTTAAAAATTCAAAATTTGGTATCTTAACTTTGGTGAATCTTTCACTTGAATATTTTAAAATTATTTTTCATCTTTTATATCAGGGGTCTCCAAACTTTTCAGTCCGAGGGCTGCATTAACTATAAAATTTCAGTTCGGGGGCCGGTTTCTTCCAGGCATGTCTTTGATTTTTATGGGCAAAGTTCCTTAGCAATCACCAACGAACGATTTTTCATTGGACAAAAAGATCTCCGCGGGCCGGATGAGAGGACATCGCGGGCCGCATCCGGCTCGCGGGCCGTAGTTTGGAGACCCCTGTTTTATATCAACATACTGACAAGTCACAAAGCTTTTTAAAAGTATAAATTAGTAAACAAAAAATCGTGTGATGTAAAACAAAAACGCAAAGTCTGTACTGCAATACACTATTAAAACATGCTTCTATCTGAGCTCAATAAGATCTAGTTAGGGTCTTTCCAAGCAACCCTTAGCCTTAGAGGATAACAATTTAATTTAAATTTCACACTAATGTTTTTACATATTTTAAGTAATGTAACAAGGCACTGTTTCCACATTGTGATCTTCTATACATGCCAATATAAAAGAAGCTTAAAACAATCAAGTATTTACAAAATTATTTTTATTTTTTAGATAATTGGCACGATTATCCGTGCAACCATACGTCTTTTTCATTGTGTGAGAAGTCGCTAAAGTCAACTCGCTTGAGGAAGGTCGAGAAATCATTTGGTGAGGGGAATAAATCAATCGACATGTACCATAATAAAGGAGCTCATTTTTATTAAATAAAAGTAAATACTACATGCTACTAATGTAAGCCTCTAGTGCTTGATTAAATACACTACAACGTAAAAGTACAAACTGCATGCTACTAATGTAAGCCTCTAGTGCTTGATTAAATACACTACAACGTAAAAGTACAAACTGCATGCTACTAATGTAAGCCTCTAGTGCTTGATTAAATACTTAAATACACTTCAACATAAAAGTAAATGCTGAATGCTACTAATTTGCTTAATCTTTACGTTTAGAAAATGCACCTTTTACCGTAGTTTACTCTCAACAACCAAACGTACGTCCTGTGTTGATGCTGCAGATACTCCTCTTACTAGTGCTTGTTGGTTTTATTTACTTTTAAAACAGGTAGGCCCTACATACAATTATTTTAGCTGCAATGCTATAATAGATATTACTGTTTATAAGTAATTGTATAATTGAGTCGTCAACTTTAATTATAATCATCTATATGATGTCACGTTTTTTATTTTATTTTATTTTTTATTTATTTCCGTTAGGTTTATTTTCGGTAATGTTGATACTAGTGATTGATGTTTATCATATATTTCCAGATAACAAAATGTATCTACAGTAAACAAATTATAAATGTTTTATTTCTTTTGATTGATGTAAAAAAAATCTATTGCGTTGCTCATTTTCCTTTTTTTAATTTACAGTTCCGGCATAGAAAGTCGAAAAGCTATAGAGTTTTTGCCAACAACGAGGAACTTGTTTTTTTCCGTAGAACATTTTAAGAAAGAAACTACAAAACATTTAGAAAGGGCGATAAGTACAAAAATTGTGTTTCAATGATAAAAATAAACTGTATTATTACGGTGCTGTTCCCTGTGTGGTTTAATTTGTAACGACGTTATTTATAAATACGTTATATTTAACGTCGTTATATATCACGTCGTATATTTAACATCGTTATACATTACGCAATATTCAGACTGATGAAATGCATGCTAGCTCTATCTGTTTCTGAATGTCTGACTGCGACAATGGAAAACTGACATTTAAATTCACACACGAAAACACGATCATACATACACACATAGATTTTGACCATAGTGATAACGAATACAATACTAAACAGAACCATGTACGTAAAAAGCCAAATTTTAAAAGGTGAACCAAAAAGGTTATTTATTTTAGTTTGCCATGGAGTGTTTTCCAAACTAGAAAGCGAGTTGTCTGAAGATGAAGAAATGCTGGTAAACAATAACATTGCTTTCTTCCCTTATAACGCTAGATACGTTAATGAAATAGATATCAGGACACTTAATTTATATTTACAAATAATGTTTATGATATAATATCATTAGAAACATGCAACTCTTGTTGTATATTCATTGTGAAGTTAAATCAGTCAAACAATGTCATAATATTGATTTCATTTATCTTTAAAACACACGCATACAAAAACATTGCGAAAAGGTTACATTTACAACCGTCGTGCTAAGGGATTCAAAACACCTCCGTTAGTTCTCAGTCATACAAAAATAGCTCACCAACGAACATTGTTACACTACGCGCTTTTAAGGTAGGTACACACTTGTAAGGTAGGTACACAAATGTAAGGTAGGTACTCCCTTGTAATGTAGGTACTCGCTTGTAGGGTACACGCTTGTAAGGTACACGCTTGTAAGGTAGGTACACGCTTGTAAGGTACACGCTTGTAAGGTACACGCTTGTAAGGTAGATACACGCTTGTAAGGTACACGCTTGTAAGGTACACGCTTATAAGGTAGGTACACGCTTGTAAGGTACACGGTTGTAAGGTAGGTACACGGTTGTAAGGTAGGTACACGCTTGTAAGGTACACGCTTGTAAGGTTGGTACACGCTTGTAAGGTACACGCTTGTAAGGTACACGCTTGTAAGGTACACGCTTGTAAGGTACACGCTTGTAAGGTACACGCTTGTAAGGTACACGCTTGTAAGGTACACGCTTGTAAGGTAGGTACACGCGTGTAAGGTAGGTACACGCTTGTAAGGTACACGCTTGTAAGGTAGGTACACGCTTGTAATTTAGGTACACGCTTGTAAGGTAGGTACACGCTTGTAAGTTACACGCTTGTAAGGTAGGTACACGCTTGTAAGGTACACGCTTGTAAGGTAGGTGCACGCTTGTAAGGTACACGCTTGTAAGGTAGGTACACGCTTGTAAGGTACACGCTTGTAAGGTACACGCTTGTAAGGTACACGCTTGTAAGGTACACGCTTGTAAGGTACACGCTTGTAAGGTACACGCTTGTAAGGTACACGCTTGTAAGGTACACGCTTGTAAGGTAGGTACACGCTTGTAAGTTACACGCTTGTAAGGTAGGTACACGCTTGTAAGGTACACGCTTGTAAGGTAGGTACACGCTTGTAATTTAGGTACACGCTTGTAAGGTAGGTACTCGCTTGTAAGGTAGGTACACGCTTGTAAGGTACACGCTTGTAAGGTACACGCTTGTAAGGTAGGTACACGCTTGTAAGGTACACGCTTGTAAGGTACACGCTTGTAAGGTACACGCTTGTAAAGTACACGCTTGTAATGTAGATACACACCTGTAAGGTGGTAATGCTTGTAAGGTACACTTGTAAGTTAACCGCAACAATTACAAAACAAAGTCGCTTTAGTGATATGCAATTCATAATAGGTTATTACAAGTTTAGTAATAATAGTAATAACAATTAGAAAAAAAAATTGACAACGTTAAAGAAATCAAAATATTGCAAGTTATACAGACATTGTATTCAGCCTTTGTGTGGTCTCCGTTATTTGGTACTAAGATACTAACATAAACTTCTGTCAAGAATTCGACCTTAATTGAGAAGCCTAAATATTGGAAGATTTCAAGCTGCGTTTTCATGAAAGGCTCATCGAGAACTGTACAGGTAGAAGGTGACCTTACAGTTATCCAACTATTGGTAGTTGTTTCTCAAAACATGTGAGCGTATTTCCACTGTGATGGCGATGCTGATGGTGATGGTGTTCGAAACTGATGGTGCTGATTTTGCTGACGGTGTTGGCCTTGTTGATCACCTTTGTAATGGTAATAATAATCATGGTAAAAATAATCATTATTGATGGTTAAAGCGATGGTGATGATATCGTCAACGGTGATGATGACGTAAGTGGGGATAAGCAAAAGCATTACGGTTAAGTTTTAGTGATATATGTTACGGTCAAAGCCCGAAGTGCGGCCAAAGCCCGCATTGGCCACCCAATGTGCGCATTGGCTGGCTCTCTTGGCAAAAAGCCCGAAGAACTTAGCACTAAGAGCTTTTGGTTTTACTTAAAAAAATATCTTGACGTCATAACAAAAATATTTTACAGCTGGTGTTTAAACAAATCTCATTGTGGGATAACTCGAAAGGACAAAAAAAACAGATCTTAATATGCTAAAGATAATAATAGTGTATGCACTTTTATTGGCTTTTTTTTAAAGCTTATTGAATATATATTAAATTTCAAAATAGCTTTCCTGTTGCAAGTCATGTAAACCATAGGTTTGGATATGAATTGTAAAAAAAGGAAAAAAAAAATACTTTAACTTTACACTAGCAAAGGAAATATAAGATTCACTTAATTAATCCACTCTGCTAGCATATCCATTAAAATTACATAGTGTCTACTTGTATAAAGTATGGTATAGTTATCTCTTCTATTTGTCCCCTGTATATGTGTGTTTGGGATATTTATATTTTCTCACATTATTGTATCTATCATGTAGTAGGCTAGACAAATGTATACATAACAACATGACAAACAGTTTTCATAGCCTAAAATTTGTTTATAAAAATTATTATAAACTAAAATTGCTATTTTTGGAATTGTCCAACTAAAAATCCAAATAATGTATTATTTGTTTGTAACTTAAAGCAACAATTTACTAATTTCCCCTAAATAAAGTTGTTGTACATAATAATTGTGTTTTAATAAAATGTGTCAATTTAAAGAAGATTGGACTTTCCAACTCATTTTTGCGATAATTTGATAATAAAAACGTACTATTTCAAAATTACCATATTTAATTGATGTCATTTTTCCTTTCTTTTACATTTGTTATTGTAGTTAGCGTGTATTTAAAAAAAATCACATTTCCATGCGCTGTTTATTTCATTTAGTTTATTAACACTGCTGAATAAATTTATAAATGGCAATCATTGGTACCAAACACGAGTGTACATAAATTTCTATGTTAAATTAATACAACTAGAAAATGGAAGTATTGGTAAATACAACTAGAGAATTGTATTGTAGGTAAATACAACTAGAAAATGGAAATATGGGTAAATACAACTAGAGAATTTTAGTGTAGGTAAATACAACTAGAAAATGGAAATATGGGTAAATACAACTGGATAATTTTAGTGTAGGTAAATACAACTAGAAAATAGAATATTTGGGTAAATACAACTAGAAAATGGAATATTTGGGTAAATACAACTAGAAAATAGAAGTACGGGTAAATAGAACTAGAGAATTGAAGTGTAGTGTAGGTAAATACAGCTAGAAAATGGAAGTGCGGGTAAATACAACTATAGAATTGTAGAGTAGTATTGGTAAATACAACTAGAAAATGGAAATATGGGTAAATACAACTAGAAAATAGAAGTATGTGTAAATACAACTAGAGAATGGTAGTGTAGTGTTGGTAAATATAACTAGAAAATGGAAGTGTGAGTAATTACAACTAGAGAATTGTAGTGTGGGTAAATGCTAGTAGAAAATGGAATTGTGGTAGAAAATGACAGTATGGTTACACTAAAAGCTAATAAAACATAATTTAAGGAGGTTTAGATTAGTAATATCCAAATACAAAACATAATCATTGAAATGTTCACATTAATGAGCGAATTTCATTAACTCTTTTTGCTTTAGTTCTTGTGTATTTTTAATAACTCTATTTGCTTGTAAACTGATTAAAATTAATAAAAAATAATACAAATTTACATAATAAAATTTTGCACACTTAATTTATTAAGATTTTGTATTTAGATTTTTAATTTTAAAAAAATACTTTTATTTGCATTTTAAACAAATACATTAATATCATTTACATAAATATCTCCTACATATATTTTAACAAAAAAAATGTACTTGATGAATATTTACATGTTGTCTAATGTCGTATGTGAGTTATTAATTCAAAGAGATAAGCCAAGACAAGGTTATATTTTATTTTATTTTTTAAATCTTTTTTTTTTTTTGGCCTCAGACATGTAATTTACAGCGTCAGTTTGCCTTGCAAGTTGGCATTATTATTACAGTTTCCATCATCGGTTCGTAAGGACTGGTACAGATTTAAAATAGTTATATATCTTTCTTACTTGTAGCCTACTTTTATATCTTTAATATTGTTTAATTATACATAGATTTAATACAAAACGTCTAATTACAATTTTATTTAAAAAATTAAGATTTTTAAAAGATTTAAAAAGACACAGTGTTTTAAATTGCTACAGCGTTAGAGGGACATAAATAAAAATTATAGCCATGTATAATACTTTAAGATATGGCATATTATATCTTAAATAATGTATTTATATTACACTATTAATCTTACTCTCTACTAGTACTTTCTTTCAATACTTGTAATTTATTAAATGTTTCTTTAATTTACAAAGTAGTTTGAACCTTTTGTATTATTTATCTACTAGAAAATGAGAAATTCATCTTTTTCTTTCAGTTAAAATAATGTAAAACATAAAATTATAACAACATAAAATAAAGATCACAAAGTTTTCAATTCTCTCATTATTTACTACAGAAAAAGAAACAGCAAAATTAAAATATCAAATAAAGGTTAAAACTCCTAATAATGTTAGACTGACCGAAATTTCATTTCAATAAATGATGGATTAGACATGTTATTCCACTGTACATATTGTGTACCCCAAACGCTGTTAAGATTAGAGCGCCAGCAATCATTATACCACCAAGCACCTTTATAGCTACTTGCACATTTAAAAATCGAAATGTCATTATCGCGGTCAAACGTTGAAAACTTCATACCATTGTGGTAGGCTAGACTGTCCCCAGTGTTCCCAGCGAATCCACCAACAAGTAGCCTGTAGCCGTCTGTCTCGCTAGAAATGTTGAAGCTGGAATACTTGACGAAATATTTTGTTCCATTAAATGTCATATCCACTCTCAGTTCTGTTTGACGGTTTGACGTTAAGAGATAAATGTTCTCATTGCCCAGGTAAAAATTACCTGAACTAAAATCACCAAACCCGTTTTTGTATACCGCCCAGTTCCTGTAGAAATCTACTGTCCCAGAAACACGTCTTTGGAAAATGGTCCATCCTCCACCGTCTGTCACTGTGTCACACATGACCTTTAGTCCAGATGTAAGGGTCACCACAGGTCGGGGAACAGTGTTGCTGACACCTTTGCATGAGCCAAGCTGCTGGCCTATAGAATTATATAATTATAATTTATAGAATAATTTCAAAATTCCGACTTCTGTAACGATGTGTAAAGTTTTATATGTAACTACTACTTAATGCCAGTACTCTAAAATTCGATGCCAATACTTTTAAAAAAATTCAAGAAAATTAAATGTAATTTATGTCTGTAAACCTGTTTCTACCATACAGTTTCAATAGCGATGTGCGAATAAAAGTTCTATAAGATTACAAGAGCAATAGATAATATATTTTTACTTTCTTGTATACAAAGTAAAATGGGAGGTATTCTAAGCGAGCGGAAAATTATAATTTAAACGTTATCAAACCACAACGTTTAAAACCTGTCTGCGTGAAGAATATTGTATATATTAGTTTAACATACTGTGAGTGGTTTTTTCATGTTTTAAGGGATTCCGTTTAACGGAAGTTAAACTCTACTCTATTTTTGGTTCAGATCAATTGTATCATTACAAGCTTAATTTTTGCAAGGTTTTATTTATTTCGCAACCTATGTTGCGTGTTTGTGTGATTGTGTATTTGTTTGTTTGTTTGTTTGTTTGTTTGTGTGTTTGTTTGTTTGTGTGTTTGTGTGTTTGTGTGTTTGTTTGTTTGTTTGTTTGTTTGTTTGTTTCTTTGTTTCTTTGTTTGTTTGTTTCTTTGTTTCTTTGTTTCTTTGTTTCTTTGTTTCTTTGTTTCTTTGTTTCTTTGTTTCTTTGTTTCTTTGTTTCTTTGTTTCTTTGTTTCTTTGTTTCTTTGTTTCTTTGTTTCTTTGTTTCTTTGTTTCTTTGTTTCTTTGTTTCTTTGTTTCTTTGTTTCTTTGTTTCTTTGTTTCTTTGTTTGTTTCTTTGTTTGTTTCTTTGTTTGTTTCTTTGTTTGTTTCTTTGTTTGTTTCTTTGTTTGTTTCTTTGTTTGTTTCTTTGTTTGTTTCTTTGTTTGTTTCTTTGTTTGTTTCTTTGTTTGTTTCTTTGTTTGTTTCTTTGTTTGTTTCTTTGTTTGTTTCTTTGTTTGTTTCTTTGTTTGTTTCTTTGTTTGTTTCTTTGTTTGTTTGTTTGTAAATCGAATTATATACAATTTGATGTATCAATTTATAACGTATTAATTTTTTTTATGTGTTTAAAATGTAAATGTACCGATCGAAACATTATCATATGGTCAGCACGCAGAATCATACGTTGAAATGATATGAAAGAAAATAATAAGATTTACCACCTGTGCACATAATTAAGTCTGTATCTGAGATGGAAACATCAGACAGGATCGTGATGTTTCTGGTTGTGTTGCAGAAATTTCCAGTAGAGAAAATTTTTCCCTGAACTTTTTGTTTTGAAGCCTGCAGTGGTACTAGCCAGGAACCTGTTAAATCAAAGTTTAAATATAAATTGCCATGTACGTTGACTTGCATTGAACGCAAGCGATTGGTTGGATCAATAAGTATTGTATACATACAGAATTTATGCTATGTTATTTATTTCAGTATTTTAATGCTAAAAATTTAAACTTGTTTAATTTATACCCAGCCATGATACAGCTCTTCAAATATAATTGTTTCTTACTCGAAGCACGCGTTTCTGAACAATTTTTAAAAATAAATCTAGAAATACGTCAAGTAACAAGATATTAAAAATGCAAGTGTAAAATTTGAATTAATTCAAGCTACATTGTAGAACATGTGTACAAAATCAAACTACAGAGTAAAGCAAGTGGACTCACCCAAACTACAATGTTTTGTGGTTTTGTTGTAGATGTAGCTGTAGCACGTTTTGTTGGAACTTGAACAACGTGAGGCGCAGGACAAAAGGCTGACTTGGTCAAACTCTACATCGATGGGCAGTGTGGTCACGTTTGTGTCATCAACAGCTTTATACTGGGTTTGTTGGATACCGATAACAATTTGAGCTATTGAATAAAATAAAACTAGTTATAATACAGCTAACCTTGTTTGATGATACACAGTAAAGATATAATACATCTAACATTGTGCAATGATACAAAGAGTAGTTATAATACATCTAACCTTGTGCAATGATACACAGTGAAGATATAATACATCTAATCCACATGATGTAAAGGTATAGGATGTGATTGTCCGCTATTTCAATTGTCGCTTTTTTATTCTTATGGTACCTTTTGTATGATAGTTTGTATCACAAAGTGTTATCTGTTCCAAGCATAAAAAAATATTAACAACATACATGCCATTACCTACATTGGCAGGCCAAGGCGTGCACTGGCCGTGATGTCCTGGCCAATGGTCTATCTAGACTAAGTTGTGATCACGTTTTCATTATTCTGGGTGCGGTTTCATTGTGAGTAACGTTTTGTTTTGTTGTTGTTTGTATGACATTCTTTATACAAGGCAACATGGGCCAAAAGAGCCGTTAGATCAAAAGACAGACATACCAGATGGCTGCCAAAATATTTATTAACTAAAGAACATGTGGCCGTAACTTAAACTAGTTCACGGAAAACCAAGGCATAGCCAAAGCCAAGATTCAGTAGAACGTGCTAAACAAGAAGTTCAAAACATGATGATGACAAGGACACAGAAACATGAATCAGCTCAATGGGCTGAGAGTCTCAAATTCATTCAATTTCTGAAAAACCTTTCTTTTCATCAAGAATTGCCATGCGAAGCCTTGTTTGGATGCAAAGCAAAAGTGGGACTTAGTACTTCAAATCTACCAAGAGAGGCTCTCGATAATTTAGTTACTGAGGGAGATCTTGAGAACAGTGAACAAGAAATGGAGGTTGACGTAAATGCAACGACATCCTCAGCTAATACATCTACTGCCGTGGCAGAACGTCTAGACCAGTTGCGTGACAATAATAAGGCCAACAGATTATGTGTAGTATATACAAAAATTGTGTATTGCAGCCCATTCTTGTGGATCCTGTGGCAACGATGTCCATGAGATATGCTGAAGAGCCAATGAAGCAGACGAAGGGTACGGAGGAAACATTACTTGCAGATTGTGTCACAATAAACAAGATATCATGGATAACAGAACAGCAACTTATACTAGCTTGCAAACTCAAGGTGCTAAGATGCTAACATTAAAAAAATATATAAAAATCTGCTTATTATCTTCTAATTCTAACCATGGCCAGTACGCGTATATGCCATGGGGGGCGATATTGGCCAATGTGCGCATTGGTCGACGTCTCGGGCTTTGATGGTAATATATATATATATATATATATATATATATATATATATATATATATATATATATATATATATATATATATATATATATATATATATATATATATATATATATATATGTGTGTGTGTGTGTCTATATATATATATATATATATATTCAGTTATACATTAAATGAGAAAAAAGTCAAACTTGCCCAGCAGAAGCTTATTGCAGTTTCTTTTTGCACATGATTGTATTTCATTAAATTAAGCTTTGGACAAAGCCGTGTATAAGACCATAGGGCAAATAAATGAATATCTTTCTGTATCTTTGGCTTAGGTTAATATATTGTAATAGGTCGAACATCCAACCGCCACTGATTTCCTTAATGTAAGGTTTATAATCATCACGTACGTCTTACAGACTTAAGTCAGCCATTTCGAGACAACATTCGAGCACTCTACACACCACACCCACTTTCACTCAACGACACCGTCACACCAACATGTATCACATTAGATAATCATCTATGTATATACTACTAAAACTCAAGTTACATGTTTGAATATTTATTTTTTGTTTGTGTTTTTGTTTGTCCTTTTGGTTACAGGAGAGAATCTGCACCATGTGTAGAGCTTTGCAATACGTAATTAGGTAGGGAACAATTTTCTTTTTCTAAACAGACTTTTACTAACAAATTATTTTAAAAAGACGTTAATTAATTTATTGACATATTCATTGGTAGATAAACCACATTAATTATAAAATTTCGGAACAATGACTTCAATAATTGTGACATCGCATGATTTATTTACTTTTTATAACAATAATGGCTGCTTCCATCGAAGGTTTTGGTGCCCATTCAAAAGCTTAATGCATTATAAAGCTAATTTTCTGTCGGCTATAGCTTAAACGATACGTCCGTTTGCTAGTTTTATTAGGCTCTAACACTATTTACAATTTTTAACAGTTCTAATTTGAATATACAATAAATTTCTTTAGATCTAGAGATCAGCTGTCAGATGAATGGAAAGTCATTCCTAGATCTAAAATCTAGAATCTAGGTCAAGCCAAAATTAATAAGTTAAAAATAAACACAATTATATAATCACAATAAATTATTGAATTTCTTTATTACACTCTGTTAGTCCTTAAATATTTTATATAAAATTTGCTTTTTAGCTTCAATTATAGTCTAATTCGAGAATACATGGCATTTATCTATCTGTATCTAGGTTCTATCTGGTTCTAGAGTTTGATCTACGGCAAAAACTAGACTTAACGTAAATTCTACATGTAGAAATAGACTTAAAGTAAATTCTAGAATCTAGAATCTATATACTAATCTATTTCAGGCTTTAATTATTTTGTATTAATCTTTGTTTGTTTAGCTATAGGATTGGCTAATTTGGGGTAAAATGTAATTTGAAATAATACTAGATCTATGGCCTATTCGAGTAAATCAAGTTTCTTAAGCAGACTCAAACTATCAACAGAGCACAAAAACAAACGTCAGTGACTTATAGAGCCTAGATAGCTAAGGTGTTAGTGTAATAGGCGCCCATGCGTGTGGCACGGGTTCTAGACACATTATTTCAATGTTTAATTTTTTTTTTTTCAATTTTGTTTTTAGATGTGAATGACAAAGTTGTCTTTTGGAATTTGTCGGGATACAAGGCAGATGAAGTAGCGTTCAACTGTTTCCTCATTATATGAAGGAATAGTGTGGTCAGAGCCATGCTTGCCCGAAATTGTTTTTTAACGATAAAAACTTGTTGTCAGAGACTTTGGAGGACACTGGGCAGTTAAAGTAGAGTTGGGTAGGCGTAGAGTTCACACGTGACGTCAGCATATGAAGGGGTAGTGTGGTCAGACCCATGCTGAGCCGAAATCGGCGTTTTTAAAACGACAAAAACGTCTAAGGTGTGAGGTCAAGGGATGACGGGTAGTCAAGTTGTAAATAAATGTAAAGTTTCTTGTTGTTTAATAATTAAAACATTAATTTAAAATGTACTTGCCGATTGTAAATGATCAGATACCGTACATTTTAGCATTAGTGTGTATTAGTATCGAGTCTATGTAAAGGGTAAGATTGTGACCATAATGTATTAGATAACCAATGCAAAACTTGTTATACTGCCTGCCAGAATAAAAAAACGTTTTGTTCGCTAAAGGTATTCAATAGATTTCTTGACTAATTACCATGTGCAAAAGCAATGTATGAGTAAAAATTGAAAATTTTAATAGACTTAAATTTGTAAAAACACGCCCTGAATATCTTTGAGTAACACCAGAAAGTTATACTACTATAGACAGGACCGTACATCTTGTTTGAAACGTTTCCTCCTTTTATTTGTATTCAACTTAAGTTAAAAAGTTGCTTTTTTCCTTATAGACACCAAAACATTGTACTAGGGTCATTCAAATTTAACTTTTTGTTAATTTAATAAGTGTGTGATCAAATTGTCTACATTTTACAAGAGCAAATACCGTCTAATCAAGGTTAATAAAACGAAGCTGGAATTAAATTTGAGAAAAATCTTCAAAACTTACCTTTACCCAACAAGAGAACATAAACTACTAGTAAACAAGGACGAATTTTTTCCACAGTTGTTAAACGTGAGCTTAGCAGTCCCAGAGCTGTACAGTCTAGATATTGTCTTTCTTTATTCACCAAAAATTGTGGGCGGGCTATTCAGAGCACTAGCATTTAAGGCGTGGGAGTTTAGACAATATATACACTTTAGAATCGATTTACATGTCATTAACATTGTAAGCAATTTTTGTTTGTGTTACTTAAGCGAAAGAAACATGATTATCATACACCCTCGCACAAAGGTACGCTGCGTTGTTTCTCGTACTGCGTCTAAAATAGTTCCAACAAAAGAATGCTCTAGACGGGAACACACCCATTTAAATAGATGCGTTCATCCAGTTGAAACAATACAATAATTCAGTAAAATCAGTTAAATGTATCATGTTCAAAGAATAAATGTATTCATTTTAATTAAAAGATTCATAAAGTTAAAATATTACATTAATTCAATTCAAACAACAGAATCATGCTTTTTAATTATTAAAATAATCCAATTTAAACAACAAATCAATCTAATTAAAACAATAAATTCATCCAGTCAAATCATTATATGCATTAAATTCAAAGGAAAATTAATCCAATTCAAACAATTAATATCTAGTCAAATCAATATAATCTTACAATTCAGAGCATACATTCATCTAATTCAAGCAATCGATTAATCCAGTTAAATCAATATATTCAATTAACTTATAGAAGAGAAAAACGCACCAGTTGACAACAGTTAAGAGGGTGACACCAAGATAAAAATTAAAATAATTGCCGAGAAAACAAAGAACTGGCCTGTTAATTAATAATTTATGAGTTAGTGACATCCGTAGAAACAGATTAGTATCGTTGAAAAGTGACTGGAGTGGACGGTGGGTGGATTGCGGATGTAGATAGTGGGTGGATGGGTGAGGGGAAGGTGCAACGCTCGAATACAGAAGAAAAAAGCAACAGCCAAGGCTGTGTTGAATGTCTAAAAAAAATAAATTCGTTTTAAATGAATTAAACATGAACAGAAGATTACCATATTTAGAATGTCACAATGTTGTCTTCCAGTATTTTTATGTTATATTCGTGTAGGAGGAGGGTAAGAGGATTTTAAAGACTTTGTTCACTTTCTTTCATGTAAATGAAATTTTAAATATTGCTACGACGCAGAGGCGTAGCCAGGATCGTCTTATGGCTGCGCGGGGGGGGGGGGGGGGGGAATTGTAACCATCATTTATATATTTGTATATATTAGTGTGGTAATGTAATGTTTATGAAAGCTGAATACGTGGGGTGGTTCACAGCGTGTGTGTGTGTGTGTCCTGTAGCGTGACGCGAGACTGGGTGTGTTGACGTGTATGTTGTTGTACGGAGTGAACGGGGGTACCAGGGAAGCGGTAATATATTATGAGACAACAAATAACAAACAAAAAAATTGACCTAATTCATTACGGGCGAGATATAATTGTGTTTTAAAAAAAATGTATCTCATTTATTCTATTTATAACCTCCTAAAATTGTGAATCATTATGGTTTCCGTGTTTGTTTTATTCTTGTTTTTTTTCTGCATTTGTATAAATAACTAGCCGTCCCGGCCAGGCCCTGCCTCGCCTCTGTGAAAAACATATCTGTAAAGGACCATGATGGGTGTTTAGTAATCAGCATATACCTGACATTGCCCACCCTAACCACAACCAACCAAAACTAAAACACCCTAACCACAACCAACCAAAACTAAAACAAATTAAAAGACAAAAAACGCAAACAACACAAACGCAAACGCAAACACAACTACAAACACAAACACAAACGCAAACACACACCCAAACATAAACACAAACAAAAAAAGCAAACGAAAACAAACCAAATCAAAACACAAACCCAAACGCAAACCCAACCCAATCTTAACTCAAACACAAAGAAAACACAAGCGCAAACATAAGCGCAAAGGGATCACAGTCTAGCCCGTGGAGTAAATCGCATCATGCTGGGGCGCCGACGGAACCGCCTGTTTCAGCTTAGTAAACGACTCTAGTACACCAATGTATCCATATGCTATTGCACTCACTTAAACGAACGTAGGCGCCACAGCGAACACGGGAAGGCCCGGGGCGACAAATAGCACCCTGTCGGGGTGCCGGAGAACGCCTGGATTTTATTCACTTAAAGACTATAGTAACCTTTCTTATCCATAATTTATCGCAATGTTTAAAGGGAAATTATGCACCATAGCGCTCACAGGATATGGGACATTTAGGAGCTGGCTTATTAACTGTTATTGATTTTAAAAATAATTAGTACGTTCAGTGTATAGAATACATAAAAGGCAGTATTAAAAATACATACAACATTTCACCTGATCAATCCCCGCTAATTATGTAATACAAATTTCAGCTCACTAACGACTTACGCTTGTAAGGTAGGTACAGGCGTGTAAGGTAGGTACAGGCTTGTAAGGTACACGCTTGTAAGGTACACGCTTGTAAGGTACACGCTTGTAAGGTAGCCGCAATAATTACAAAACAAAATCGTTTTAGTGATATCCATTTCATATATTACAAATTCAGTAATAGTAGTATTTTCTAATTCTATAAATGTGTTATTAAAATCGAATTCGAATACATTTTCGTATTTTTTGTTTTGTTTAACAAACTGAAATAGAGTAGTTCCTTTTAACATTCAAATTATAGCGCAATGCATCACGGCTTAGTAAAATTTACACTTACGGTTTTATTTGTAGCCCTTGAACGTTTTACATGCTAACCCATTGTAAGATCGTAAATTAACAACACACAAGGCATAACTGTTTAAGAACTTTTTAAATATAGCGAACACGATTTTAACATTCCGGAAAAAATCTAGCAGTGTGTATCATATCCTGGTAGTCATATAATCACCATTGGCATGTTGACTTATTTTCAAACTATCCCCATTGGCGTGTAGGCTGGTTGTCAAGTTATCCCCATTGGCGTGTAGGCTGGTGGTCAAGTTATCCCCATTGGCATGTAGGCTGGTGGTCAAGTTATCCCCATTGGCGTGTAGGCTGGTGGTCAAGTTATCCCCATTGGCGTGTAGGCTGGTGGTCAAGTTATCCCCATTGGCGTGTAAGGGATCCCTGCTGTCCGTGGGGCCCAGACCGTCCTCCTCGTCTGGCACCGTGTGACGTGTGGACATCCGGTCAATCAGCGAGCCCTGACACACGGGGAAGTACCTGTGAGAACGGGCATCACGTGATTCATGCTGTTATTAGTCTTTATAAAATTATAGAACACACCTCACTTAATTAGATCTTTAATTAGTCGTTTTAAGTTAATACATCTCGGTACAGTCAAAATTATCCTGATGTATAATTTTTAAAAATTAGAAAAAAATTGACAGCGTCAAATAAATCAAAATATTGCAAGTTATTAGAGACATTGTAGTCAGCCTTTTGTGTGGTCTCCTTTATTGGGTACTAAGATTCTACAAAAGCTTATGTCACGAATACGACTTTAGTTGAGAGCCCTTAATGTAGGAAGATTTGAAGCTGCGTTTTCATGAAAGGCTCATCGAGAACTGTACAGGTAGAAGGTGACCTTACAATTATCCAACCATTGGTAGTTGTTTCTCAGAAAAAAATTGAGGTATGTCCACATCTCACCTGACTAGATTTACTGGGGCAGACTTACTTGCTACATGGCTGACGGTTAGTGGTTTTCTACAGACTTACTTGCTACAAGATAGTCGGTTGGTGGTTTTCTACAGGCTTACTTGCTACATGGCTGACGGTTGGTGGTTTTCTACAGACTTACTTGCTACGTGGCTGACGGTTGGTGGTTTTCTACAGAATTACTTGCTACAAGATAGCCAGTTGGTGGCTTTCTACAGACTTACTTGCTACAAGATAGCCGGTTGGTGGCTTTCTACAGACTTACTTGCTACAAGATAGCCGGTTGGTGGCTTTCTACAGACTTACTTGCTACGTGGCTGACGGTTGGGGGTTTTCTACAGACTTACTTGCTACAAGATAGCCGGTTGAGAAAAGGTTGTAACAATGGGATGTCATAGACAGACAGATCACCCTCAGGTCCTTGCGCTTGATTCCTCCAGTGTAGCAGTCCGCGTTCTTTTCTAGTTCCTGGGGTAGAAATGGATAATTGAAGCTCGTCTTAGTTGGTAAACTCATGGATATTGCACGGATAAATTATATCACAACAAAAACACGGACGCATTTTGAAAACTTCTATATCATTGAAATTTCGGTTATAATTCAACTTTCGATGACAATACACTACTATATAATTTTAAAAAAATAAAAAATTGAGAAATTAAAAAGCGTTAACAAATTAATATCACTATAATATCTGATAATATAAAATACTAAAAGCCCTCTAATTTACCTGGGATACTGTTGTCCAGCACAAAAGCCATGACCCCGCCCACTAACATCGAGGTACCAAACAACACGGTCAGTACTTGGTCAGCCAGCTCACTGCCTGTTGCAAAATTCAATTGTGTACTTAAGCCAAGTTTTGTTTGAGTTTGAAATAAAGTATTCCAAAATATGATTAAAGAGATGCCGAAGGTAATCATAAGTCAATGTTAAACTAGCGATTTTTTGTTTTTTGCGCTAAAATTGTGTGAGCTTAAAACTTATTTGCTGAAGATTGTTACTAATTTATAAAATATGCAAAACTGTGTGTATGTTTTCGTGTAAGGGTGTGCGTGTGTGTTTGTGTGTGTGCGTGTATGTGTGTGCGTGTGAAGTTGTGTCTTTTAGTTGATATAGCGTCGCTATTAATGTAAAGGAGAAAACTAGATTTTACAGAACATTATTTTTTTAGTCTCATCTTACATGATGCTGTATAACTGGCTAATTTTTTTTAAATAAGCTGTTGTTTTAATTCCAGCTAAACGTTTCCCAACCGTCCTTCTTTCTTTTTCTTCGTTCTTAATTTTTAGTGTTGGAGGGGCTCGAGTCTTATCTGCCAGAGGGTTAAAACTCCAGATTTTTATTCGAATTTATCAATCATGAGCTTATGCCGACTCGACCACGCCTCCATCACAATTAAGGATACGTGTCAACTGGTTATGCGCCATTGAGGCCATTGACTCCGATTTCAGCCTGATTTTTTTTTTGGATTCGCTTCCATAGCCTTTGTCCAACCAAGAACAAACTACAAGGCAGCAGTTGTTTGATTTAGGAGTTACCTCTCCTAGAAGAGAGGCTGTCCCCAGCTAACGAGCCTCATGTGCCCGAGGGTTCAAAATGTTTCCCTATCGTCTAAATGTTTCCCTATCGTCTAAATGTTTCCCTACCGTCCAAATGTTTCCCTACCGTCCAAATGTTTCCTAACCGTCCAAATGTTTCCCAACCGTCCAAATGTTTCCTTACCAGCTAAATGTTTCCCAACCAACTAAATGTTTCCCAACCGTCCAAATGTTTCCCAACCGTCCAAATGTTTCCCAACCGTCCAAATGTTTCCCAACCGTCCAAATGTTTCCTAACCGTCCAAATGTTTCCTAACCGTCCAAATGTTTCCAAACCGTCCAAATGTTTCCCAATCGTCCAAATGTTTCCTAACCGTCCAAATGTTTCCTAACCGTCCAAATGTTTCCTAATCGTCCAAATGTTTCCCAACCGTCAAGATCTTTCCTAACCGGCTAAGCGTTTCCCAACCGTCCAAATGTTTCCTAACCGTCGAAATGTTTCCTAACCGTCCAAATGTTTCCTAACCGTTCAACTGTTTCCCTACCGTCTAAATGTTTCCCTACCGTCTAAATGTTTCCCAACCGTCCAAATGTTTCCCTACCGTCTAAATGTTTCCCAACCGTCCAAATGTTTCATAACCAACTAAACGTCAAGAGAACTACCTGTCTTGACCTGATGTGTGCTGACCCAGTTAGACACGCTGAGACCGAAGAAGACCGGCAGACCGAACACGAACAGATTTCTGGACGAATTGAGGTCAACATGTTGGAGATTAGAGATCCCAACCGCCGCCACCATACCTGGTAGGGGAGATAATCAATCTCTTACTGTCTGCTGTAATACTCTTTGACGTTATATTATGTTGTTTCAAGCTAAAACTAATTGTATTTTAATATATATATATATATATATATATATATATATATATATATAGAGAGAGAGAGAGAGAGAGAGAGAGAGAGAGAGATACTCAGCATGACCGCTGAACGTACCAAACATGACGTAGAAGAGTCCACCTAAAACAGGCTCAGGTATAGTGACGAACAGCGCACCAAACTTGCCCACACAGCCCAGGACTAGCATCAGACAACCAGCACACTGGATCACAACACGACTCGCTACCTTGTGGCGGGGAGGGAAACAATTCAACGGGAGATGAGCGACGGATGGTGAATAAACAATATACACCTCACTCACAGCAACAACGCACCCATTCAATTATTAATCCCTTAACATATTAAAAAAAACTATTCCTGAACATTAAAACTTTTATAATTTTGATTACATATTTACCAGATGGCTGTTAAACACGAATGTTGTTTGCATACTTCGATAGGGGGGATAACTTATAATATAAATAACTTCCTGCTTATCATATTAATTCCCTTTTAAAAATGAACTCCTCTATATACTTCGACAATTATTGTGTCATTTTTTAATAAAAATATTGCAGCAAATAAAATAATGTATGCATTCGTCACCAGCCCACCTCCTCTTGTGAAACTCTCTGTCGATGTTTACGTTATAGTTTTACCTTATTTTTTACTACGCTTCCATCTTCAAGCTTCTGGGTTTGAGTGGTTTAGTTGACTTGTCACGATGAATAATCATACCATTAAATCATGCTGCACTATAAAATGTAATTGCGCAACTTTTTAACTTAACCCTTACCCTATGGTAAGCACCTGTGGTCAAAACCCCATGATCAAAGCACCTGCTACCAAATGTCCACATACCGCTGTCCTCAGCTAACGAGCCTTAAAATACTTCCAATACGAACTCAAAACATTTGGATTAGTTAGTTGCTCTATGCCCCGACCAATTCCTTCTCACACCTATGGGGATTCACATGTTACATACAATGTGATTACACACCTTAACAATCTGTTAACTTTGATGTACGCACTCACCTTTAGTGATGTATTTGTTACCTATCATAGGAGTACTCACCTTTGTGATTCCAATGGCGCCGATATTTTCACTGTACGAAGTGGTGCCGCCCCCTGTCCCCCAGGCTCCAGCCAGCAGACACGTGACTCCCTCCATGGCTATACCTGTAGTAAACAGACTTGACCTACTTCTACAGCTGACACATTAAAAGCTTGAACGTACAACCATTCAGACTACCACGCTCACGATCGATTCATATTATAGCTGTCATTTGTTCTTTAATTCTGTCAGTCATTTGTACCCTTGCTCTGACATTAATTGGGTTTATAGTGTAACGAACAGGTGAGTTGATGAAAGGTATGAATATTATGAGTACGCTGTAACCTGTCCCGTTCGTCCATGCTCAATCCTCGCGCTGTGAGCTGTCACATTACATCGTCTGGCATGCATTTAATTTTGCACGTGTATAAAACTCGTGTAACATCGTGGTTTAATGAGTTAGTCCAGTACTTTAAATCAAGCATGTTAGCGTAGTTTAATTCTTTGTACTTTAGTTCTGTAGCCACTGTATATTAGACTTGTGTACACTTCTGTGTCATTTAGTTAGAATATAATACAATTAACTATGTGTTGATAGCATAGAAAGTCGTTAAAGTTTTAGTTCGTATTGTAGAGAGACTTCGTGTAATTTAGTCTTGCGTTTTGTAACCCCTTTGTTTTTGTTTTTTGTCTTCTATGTTGCCTGACGCCATTACGTAAAGGCGTCAGTGTGTCCACGACAATATTTCTGACAGCTTTTTGGTCTCCTAGTTCTGAGAGTTTTGGGTTTTCTACCATTGAGAGTTATGGTTTTTTTTTTTTTTACAAATGAGAGTTTTGAGTTTTCTACAAATGAGAGTTATAGTTTTTTTTTTACAAATGAGAGTTTTGAGTTTTCTACAAATGAGAGTTATAGTTTTTTTTTTACAAATGAGAGTTTTGAGTTTTCTACAAATGAGAGTTATAGTTTTTTTTTTACAAATGAGAGTTTTGAGTTTTCTACAAATGAGAGTTATAGTTTTTTTTTTACAAATGAGAGTTTTGAGTTTTCTACAAATGAGAGTTATAGTTTTTTTTTTACAAATGAGAGTTTTGAGTTTTCTACAAATGAGAGTTATAGTTTTTTTTTTACAAATGAGAGTTTTGAGTTTTCTACAAATGAGAGTTATAGTTTTTTTTTTACAAATGAGAGTTTTGAGTTTTCTACAAATGAGAGTTATAGTTTTTTTTTTACAAATGAGAGTTTTGAGTTTTCTACAAATGAGAGTTATAGTTTTTTTTTTACAAATGAGAGTTTTGAGTTTTCTACAAATGAGAGTTATAGTTTTTTTTTTACAAATGAGAGTTTTGAGTTTTCTACAAATGAGAGTTATAGTTTTTCCACCAATGAGTTAAGAGTTTTCTAAGAACGAGAGTTTTGGGTTTTCTAAGAATGCGTGTTATGGTTTTTCTATTAAGCAGTGTTTCTCTCAGGCATCTCTTCGGTGGGGCTCTGCACCTCCCACTCACCCCCCCCCTCCCCCTTCCCCACCGAATAAAGTCTACCGCTTCCCCGAACGAAATGGAATTCATATAGAAAACATATACTTTAAACAGTGTCGCCCCCCCCCCAGGAAAATGTAGTCCTCTCCCCCCCCCCCCACACCCCCCACCACGAAAATTTAGTCCGCTCCCCCCAGGAGAAAAATTTTTCTTGAAGAAACACTGCTACCAATGAGAGTTATGAAAGATGGTTGTCGTGATTGTCGTAGTTCCCTACCTCGACTAACTGCACTCGGTGGAGGCGGTGGAGCCCCAGCAAGTCTTGCGCATGCGTAGTAGTCTCCGACAGATTCAATTGTAGAAGCGAGTAGGGCAGCCAACATGCCCAACACGCCGGTCACAGTGATCCGTGGCACGCCCCACTGACCTGCAAGAGGCAAACCATTGGGTCAGTTTTAATTTTTTTTTTACTTGATGCCATTTTAACGTTACATTATCATGTTCAATATAAAATTAGTTGATTTAAAAAATCATTTTGAAACAAGAATTTAAAAAAAAAAAACTATTACAATTCGTAAACATGTACGCTACCGGCGAGAATGAAAAGAACTCACATTTTAGAGTGTGTACATAAAGGACAATGATCTTGTGTACACCCCCTACCAACGGTGTATAAACTAACTTGTGTACACCCCCTACCAACGGTGTATAAACAAACATGTGTACACCCCTAGCAACGGTGTATAAACAAACTTGTGTACACCCCTACCAACGGTTTATAAACAAACTTGTGTACACCCCTACCAACGGTATATAAACAATCGTGTGTACACCCCCTACCAACGGTTTATAAACAAACTTGTGTACACCCCTACCAACGATGTATAAACAATCGTGTGTACACCCCCTACCAACGGTTTATAAACAAACTTGTGTACACACCTACCAACGGTATATAAACACACGTGTGTACACCCCTACCAACGATGTATAAATAATCTGTAACTCACCTGGATAAGGAAGACGGAACCAGTTGGATGCGGACAATGCCTTAGCCCTGATGTCAGTTCTAGCCTTGTAGCCCCACTCGTCTGGGTGGTCAGTCAGGGCATTGCTCACTGTCAGTATGTGGCATATGCCCCAAGAGATCATCACAGCCAGCAACACCTATAATCATATACATATATATATATATATCTTTATATATATATATATATATATATATATATATATATATATATATATATATATATATATATATGTATATGTATATATATATATATATATATATATATATATATATATATATATATATATATATATATATATATTGAAACACCTAACATAATGTCTTCTTTAATGTGTAGATAACTTACCGGAAATAAGGCAAAAATTTGTATTTTTATCTTTATGAAAGGAATTTTGATGGCAATGTTTCTCAAGTACTGGGAGAATAAGACCACCAAAAAGATTGTCCTGAAAACATTTTGTTTACTTAGTTTTTCTCATTCTGGTAAGACAGATGTACTCATGTGAGACACATTTACTCCCTTGATAAATGTAAGTACATGATACAATGTACTTACGTGAAACAGATGTACTCAATATATACAGATGTACTGAGTCATATATACTCACATTACACATAAGTACTTAGACGTATGTACTCACATTACACAGATGTACTTAGACATATGTACTCACATAACACAGATGTACTTAGACATATGTACTCACATGAGACATATGTACTCACATTACACAGATGTACTGAGACATATGTACTCACATTACACAGATGTACTGAGACATATGTACTCACATTACACAGATGCACCAATGACTTGACCCTTTATCAGCAGCTACATCAAACAAGGACAACGCTATGAGACAGATGGTCGGCGCTATGGTCAACGGACCAATGAACCTCATCAGAAGCCCGATCATACCAGAACATCCAAGTACAATAGACAGGAGTGACGCCACCATCAGCGAACCTTGCAGCTGAAATAATTTTATTACCCTCGTTTGGAGCTACGCCATTGTAAATTCAACATTGAACAATGCCTATACAATAATTCGCCTAATCTTAGAACTAATAAGCCTTTAAAGAAACAAAACGACACATTTAATTTTCGATATCCTGTAATATTCTCTCAGCCATCAATATATTTTGCATTCTAAATGTTTTAGTAAAACATATGTCAACAGTCAAGTAGCCTACACAATTCACACACATGAAGTTGGTTTTCTCTTCAACATGTGAAACAGATCCCACCTAATTCTATTTAGTTATATATACATACTTTATCAGATATATATATATATATATATATATATATATATAAAAAAAAATATATATATATATATATATATATATATATATATATATATATATAAAACTCGTGACTAATTAAACCTCCTATGAAATTAAAATTAAATGTCTCAAGACTAACTTCCGGCCAATCAAAAACAATTGTCTTTAATTAAAGACAACACATGTACATTAGTTTAATTTAATTTGTTTGCTAAAGTTTAATTGAATGTTTTAATACAATTCACAAATCACACTATAGTAAGGTAAATTTAAATCTTCTGCAGATTAAGATTTCAATTAGACCTCGCAATTAAATCTTTGAGAACCGCCTTAACAAAAATAATAACCGAAAATAACTGTTATTAACTAATTAAAATAATGTTTTAAAAGTTCTAGTAAAATACTTGTTATTGTTAAGTAAACAGTAGCAACTTAATCTAACTGGCCTTGTTTACAACGTGAAAAATAACTTAGTTTTAGAGAGAAAAAAAAAGGTAAATACCATGCATACCTCACAGAGGTTTGACTTCCAAACTTCCTGATGTGCAGCAGATCCATAGTCTGGCAGGGTGGATTTGTTGACTGAAATATAAAGCTAAGCTCTACACCTCAAATGGCTTTTCTTCCCATGCGAAACAAAAACACCAAAATTATTCTTGTTCAATATTTTGTAATGTTATACTTAACAAGATGACTGCTATGTAACTTAATGAGGTAGATCATATAAAACTTTTACTATTTAGGTTAGTCAGATTGTACACCTTTCCCCTTCCCTGATATATGTAAGGGTAGCTTTTGATATAACTACACCCTTACACTTACCTGAGAAGTTTTAGGGTAATTATTGATATAACTACACCCTTACACTTACTTGAGTTATGATAGGACAAGTGTTGATATAATCACTCCCTTACTTTTACCTAAGAAGTGTCTGTGCAGGTGTTATAAACACACACACTTACCTGTTGGGTGTAAGGGTAGGTGTTGATATAACTAAACCCTTACACTTACCGGACAGATCATGGTACGGACAGCTGTTAGATCTGACTGACAGCACAACAAACGCTGGGACGATGAAAGTGTAACTACAACTTTGTATGATGGGCAGTCTGAAAATGTGAACATGAAAGTGTAACTACAACTTTGTATGATGGGCAGTCTGAAAATGTGAACATGAAAGTGTAACTACAACATTGTATGATGGGCAGTCTGAAAATGTGAACATGAAAGTTTAAATACAACTTTGTATGATAGGCAGTCTGAAAGTGTGAACATGGTGAAAGTGTAACTACAACTTTGTATGATGGGCAGTCTGAAAATGTGAACATGATGAAAGTGTAACTACAACTTTGTATGATGGGCAGTCTGAAATTGTGAACATGAAAGTGTAACTACAACATTGTATGATGGGCAGTCTGAAATTGTGAACATGAAAGTGTAACTACAACTTTGTATGATGGGCAGTCTGAAAGTGTAAACATAAATAAAACATTGATAATACATTGATTAGTTCACAGTCAAGTAAAAATGTATTCAAAAGATATGTGTTCTTAAATAAATGGCGACATCCCAAATTGACAATCATTTAATTAGAGTGTAACATATGTAATTTAGATAAGATGTTCTAGAAATGCAAATATTCTTTCATATATTGTTCGAGCATTGTTTTCTTGATGAAATACTATCTTAGTCATTTTAGTTTTCTCCTATATCTACTAGACTGTGTATTATGTTTCTTGTACATTATATTATCTTATTGTAGTACCTTTCTCCTGTGTTTGTGTTTTGTATCTTGTACATTATATTATTCTGTTGTCGTAACGTTCTACTGTGTTTGTATTATATATCGTGTGCATGATATTATCCTGTTGTAGTACCGTTGTCCTGTGTTTGTATTACCTTACACCAAACGTTGATTGTAGAATAGAAGACGCGCCAGCTACAAATATCACAGTACTTATCAACTGTCCTAGACCGACATCGTCACCATCTATACACAGAACACCGCTGATTATCACAGGGTATGCAAAAGTCGCACCGAAGGCTGTGAGAAACTGCTGTTGGTGGAAGAAACATAATATGTTAACCTAGTTGTGTGGATATATATAGTATGTCAATATTGTTGTCTATATGCAATATGTCAATCTTGCTGTCTAGATATATGCAATATGTCAATCTTTCTGTCTAGAAATATGCAATATGTCAATCTTGCTGTCGAGATATATTTACCATGTCAATCTTGTCTAGATATATGCAATATGTTATTATTGTTGTCTAGATATATGTAATATGTCAAAATTATTGTCTAGATATATGCAATATGTCAATATGGTCTAGATATATGTAATATGTCAATATTGTTGTCTAGATATAAGCAACATGTCAATCTTGCTGTCTAAATATATGCACCATGTCAATCTTGTCTAGATATATGCAATATGTCAATCTTGTTGTCTAGATATATGCAACATGTCAATCTTGTTGTCTAGATATATGCACCATGTCAATCTTGTTGTCTAGATATATGCAACATGTCAATATTTTTGCCTAGATATATGCAATATGTCAATCTTTCTGTCTAGATGTATGCAATATGTTAATCTCGTTATCTAGATATATGCACCATGTCAATCGTGCTGTCTAGATAGATGTAATATGTTCATCTGATAGTGTAGATTGCGGACTGGTATTTATAAACATGTGGGTTATGTTGGGGGTGGTTCACCAACAACATATGCGGTCAGCTATATGTCTGCACAAGACATGAGTATATAGTAAGAAATCTTTATTTTTTAAACAAATGTATCAATGTGGTTTGAAGGAAGTAGATGGAAAATAAATGTTCCTAGATCAAATTAAGGCTACATGTTTGTGGAGGTAGCAAGTCACATTAGCTAGAAAAATGTTTTACCTGAAATCCTAGAAATACACAGAGATACCAAGGCGGGATTTCGTCAACCTTGTACAAAATATCCGAGTTCATCGTTGTAGTGTTACTTGTCTTTCAAAATAAAACTTTGGTTAGGATGTAACCGTCCGAGTTCATCGTTGTAGTGTTACTTTTGTTTTAAACTAAAACTTTGGTTAGGATGAAACCGTCCGAGTTCATCGTTGTAGTGTTACTTGTCTTTCAAACTAAAACTTTGGTTAGGATGTAACCGATCAACTCCACATTCAAGTTTATAGATGCTGAATCTGAAAAACCGCAACACACCTGAAATAACAGACTTTTCCAAATAGCTTAATAGTTTTTATAAGTGTTGTAAGTGGCTCTAGCTTGACCTAGATCCGAACTCGCGACAGTCTGGTTGATAAGCGACTGGTCTATCACTATACCAGGTAGACTCGACAGCCCGACAAATAAGTAGCTCTATAATTCCTTTCCAACCCAAGCGATCAAATACAAACCTCCTGTTGTATTAGCTAGTGTCAGTCGGTTGGTGTTGTTAGTGTTGTGTGCACTACATGTAGTTAGAGGGCTGGTAGTGGTGTGTCATTGTTTAATATATGTTTAAATATTTTACAATCGCTAATCTAGTAACATTGTGAATTCTAGTTTAATGTTTTTATTATGTTCATTAGCCTTTTTTCCTATTAAATTATTACTATTTGCTTTTGATTATAGAAGTTGTCCATTCATCGATTGTTTTATACGAAAGTTTTGTAGTCTTTTATCTGAGCTTGATTCGCTATGCCTGGATATGCATTTTTTTTTATTAAACCTCAATAGCATTCTTAGTTATTTGTTTAGTTTTATTTATTAATCTAATCTTAGATGTGTATTCATTTATTGAGCCTCTATATTATTCTTTGTTACTTGTTTAATTTTATTTATTAATCTAAGCTTGAAGATGATATGTGTTATAAGTATTAACAGAGACGTTCATTCTTTAAATATACATTATATTTGCCATAACCCTTACACTTACATATTTCGGCTAAAATGTACAATAAACCAACAACCTCCGTGGTAAAAAAGTGTTTCACAACATATTTTACATTTGACTTTCGATGAACGCTTGGTAATTTAAAATATCCACAAACTGGTTAATTATGATAATTAAGATCGAACCCCTATGACTGTTTGGTGAACAATGGACGTGTGTTAAACAGCTGGAGATACTTGTGGCCGTGGGTATAACAGGAGGATAGGATTATAGGATAGGGGGAGAGGAGGATAGGATAGGGAGGAGAGGAGGGGGATAGGGAGGAGAGGATTATAGGGTAGGGAGGATAGGGGGATAGGATAGGGAGGAGAGGGGGATAGGGTTATAGGATAGGGGGAGAGGGGGATAGGATAAGGAGGAGAGGATTATAGGGTAGGGGGAGAGGGGGAGAGGGTTATATGGTAGGGGGAGAGGGGGAGAGGGTTATATGGTAGGGGGAGAGGGGGAGAGGGTTATATGGTAGGGGGAGAGGGGGAGAGGGTTATATGGTAGGGGGAGAGGGGGAGACGGTTATAGGGTAGGGGGAGAGGGGGAGAGGGTTATAGGGTAGGGGGAGAGGGGGAGAGGGTTATAGGGTAGGGGGAGAGGGGGAGAGGGTTATAGGGTAGGGGGAGAGGGGGAGAGGGTTATAGGGTAGGGGGAGAGGGGGAGAGGGTAGGGGGAGAGGGGGAGAGGGTTATAGGGTACGGGGAGAGGGGGAGAGGGTGATAGGGTAGGGGGAGAGGGTTATAGGGTAGGGGGAGAGGGGGAGAGGGTTATAGGGTAGGGGGAGATGGGGAGAGGGTTATAGGGTAGGGGGAGAGGGTTATAGGGTAGGGGGAGAGGGGGAGAGGGTTATAGGGTAGGGGGAGAGGGGGAGAGGGTTATAGGGTAGGGGGAGAGGGGGAGAGGGTTATAGGGTAGGGGGAGAGGGTTATAGGGTAGGGGGAGAGGGTTATAGGGTAGGGGGAGAGGGTTATAGGGTAGGGGGAGAGGGGGAGAGGGTTATATGGTAGGGGGAGAGGGTTATATGGTAGGGGGAGAGGGTTATAGGGTAGGGGGAGAGGGGGAGAGGGTTATATGGTAGGGGGAGAGGGTTATAGGGTAGGGGGAGAGGGGGAGAGGGTTATAGGGTAGGGGGAGAGGGGGAGAGGGTTATAGGGTAGGGGGAGAAGGGGAGAGGGTTATATGGTAGGGGGAGAGGGTTATATGGTAGGGGGAGAGGGTTATAGGGTAGGGGGAGAGGGTTATAGGGTAGGGGGAGAGGGTTATATGGTAGGGGGAGAGGGTTATATGGTAGGGGGAGAGGGTTATAGGGTAGGGGGAGAGGGTTATAGGGTAGGGGGAGAGGGTTATAGGGTAGGGGGAGAGGGTTATAGGGTAGGGGGAGAGGGTTACATGGTAGGGGGAGAGGGTTATAGGGTAGGGGGAGAGGGTTATAGGGTAGGGGGAGAGGGTTATATGGTAGGGGGAGAGGGGGAGAGGGTTATAGGGTAGGGGGAGAGGGGGAGAGGGTTATAGGGTAGGGGGAGAGGGGGAGACGGTTATATGGTAGGGGGAGAGGGTTATAGGGTAGGGGGAGATGGGGAGAGGGTTATAGGGTAGGGGGAGAGGGGGAGAGGGTTATAGGGTAGGGGGAGAGGGTTATAGGGTAGGGGGAGAGTGTTATATGGTAGGGGGAGAGGGGGAGAGGGTTATAGGGTAGGGGGAGAGGGGGAGAGGGTTATAGGGTAGGGGGAGAGGGGGAGACGGTTATATGGTAGGGGGAGAGGGTTATAGGGTAGGGGGAGAGGGTTATAGGGTAGGGGGAGAGGGTTATAGGGTAGGGGGAGAGGGGGAGAGGGTTATATGGTAGGGGGAGAGGGTTATAGGGTAGGGGGAGAGGGTTATAGGGTAGGGGGAGAGGGTTATATGGTAGGGGGAGAGGGTTATAGGGTAGGGGGAGAGGGTTATAGGGTAGGGGGAGAGGGTTATATGGTAGGGGGAGAGGGGGAGAGGGTTATAGGGTAGGGGGAGAGGGGGAGAGGGTTACATGGTAGGGGGAGAGGGTTATAGGGTAGGGGGAGAGGGTTATAGGGTAGGGGGAGAGGGTTATATGGTAGGGGGAGAGGGGGAGAGGGTTATAGGGTAGGGGGAGAGGGGGAGAGGGTTATAGGGTAGGGGGAGAGGGTTATATGGTAGGGGGAGAGGGTTATAGGGTAGGGGGAGAGGGTTATAGGGTACGGGGAGAGGGGGAGAGGGTTATAGGGTAGGGGGAGAGGGTTATATGGTAGGGGGAGAGGGTTATAGGGTAGGGGGAGAGGGGGAGAGGGTTATAGGGTAGGGGGAGAGGGTTATAGGGTAGGGGGAGAGGGGGAGAGGGTTATAGGGTAGGGGGAGAGGGTTATAGGGTAGGGGGAGAGGGGGAGAGGGTTATAGGGTAAGGGGAGAGGGTTATAGGGTAGGGGGAGAGGGGGAGAGGGTTATAGGGTAGGGGGAGAGGGGGAGAGGGTTATAGGGTAGGGGGAGAGGGTTATAGGGTAGGGGGAGAGGGTTATAGGGTAGGGGGAGAGGGGGAGAGGGTTATAGGGTACGGGGAGATGGGGAGAGGGTTATAGGGTAGGGGGAGAGGGTTATATGGTAGGGGGAGAGGGTTATATGGTAGGGGGAGAGGGTTATAGGGTAGGGGGAGAGGGTTATAGGGTAGGGGGAGAGGGGGAGAGGGTTATATGGTAGGGGGAGAGGGTTATAGGGTAGGGGGAGAGGGTTATAGGGTAGGGGGAGAGGGTTATATGGTAGGGGGAGAGGGTTATAGGGTAGGGGGAGAGGGGGAGAGGGTTATAGGGTAGGGGGAAAGGGTTATAGGGTAGGGGGAGAGGGGGAGAGGGTTATAGGGTAGGGGGAGAGGGGGAGAGGGTTATAGGGTAGGGGGAGAGGGGGAGAGGGTTATATGGTAGGGGGAGAGGGTTATATGGTAGGGGGAGAGGGTTATAGGGTAGGGGGAGAGGGGGAGAGGGTTATAGGGTAGGGGGAGAGGGGGAGAGGGTTATATGGTAGGGGGAGAGGGTTATAGGGTAGGGGGAGAGGGGGAGAGGGTTATAGGGTAGGGGGAGAGGGTTATAGGGTAGGGGGAGAGGGTTATATGGTAGGGGGAGAGGGAGAGGGTAGGGGGAGAGGGTAGGGACGAGAGGCGTATAGGATAGGGAGGAGAGGGGTATAGGATAGGGAGGGAGGAATATAGGATAGGGAGGAGAGGGGTATACGATATGGAGGAGAGGGGAATAGGATAGGGAGAGGATGATGCGATCGAGAGGAGAGGATTATTTGATCAGAGGAGTGGTGATTAGCTGAAGAAGAGTAGATAATGGTTTACGTTTCATTAATCAATAAAAATACATCACTAGTGGTATGTGGAAATATAAAAGGTTGCCAGCTATAATAGTCAAGCGCTTTAACTTTTAACCGAGTTAAAGTACCGTCCGTTATTCATAATCTTTTCCCAATTTGTACCGCAGACACAAGGGGCAGATAAAGTACAAGTCATCTGTTATAATGAGCTCGGGTTGAATGGTGATAGTGTGGTCAGCACTATGCCCTGCCGCCTTACGTTAGTTAGGTACCCATCAGAGCTGGATGGACTCACGAAGAGAGCTGGGTGGACTCAGGGTCCTTCAACTAATTTTTTCCGGATTAGAAGTCAAGCTCCCTACCGCTATAACACGCCGAACCCGTGATTATTTTTAAAATATAGTTACATTTTTATTTTATTTTAGACGCATTTTTAAATTACATCCCGTTAAACATTGCGCTGAATATTTTTTTAAATAACTTCATGTGTGTTACATTGGTTTTTTTTTTAAATAATAGGTAAGTAGCCAAAACTTACTGTGGGGGTGTTGGTTGCTACTCATCGGCTGTTGGTTGCTGTTCAGCCGCTGTTGATTGCTGTTCAGCTGCCCTTTCTCGCGGTCGAGCGATTGAAACTGTGTGCGTCAACAATGTGCGCATCAAACTGACGGTTGATGTAACAGCCCTCTCACACACGAATGGCTAAATTAGTAATATTGTTCGTAAGTGC